AACAACTGTTCCTTTTGTACAATAAATAATTATCTACTGAATGGTTAGAATGTTTTATATTCTAATAAGTTGTAGTATTTTCTAAAGAAAACTCACATGCTTCAGAATAGTTTTTCGCGAGTACTACTACAACTAAGGTGAAGGAAAATACAGAATGACTTGTTTTTAAAACAATGACTTGGAGATGGTTTCTTTTTTTAGGTGTGCAGTGAGATGCAGCTTGTATCGGATAAATTCCCTACATTTGTCAAACAAACAAACAAACAAACGAACAACGATCAAGCAAAGAGAAACAATAGCGGAGACAAAAAGGGGTTGTCTGAGAAAAGTGGCGCCCTCAAAACCGGACCCACCCCCACACTGATATGAGTTGCAGGATTGAAGCTGAAAACTTGGCGAATTGCCCCTGGGCTTTTATTCTGCAGCATTTACTGCGGCAGAATGGAGATGTCATTGGAAATCCTGGGAGTGAGAGAGACCCAGACAAAGCACAGTACGCCCCGTCACTAAGCGACGCAAGTCCGAACATGAGTTCTAAAGCTTTTATTCATAGTGCACTGAAACACTTACATAGACCTACTTCGTTTCGTGCTCTGAGAACACGTCGATTGTATATTCATTTGTTGTAAGGACTCGAACCCTTGTCTCATCGACTGCGCCATAAACCAACTCAATTATCTACTTACATCGCAAAGCCTCTTTAACGTTATAAAATGCTGAAGATATCTGCATCACCCCAGTCTTGTAAAAAAAATCCTCTGGTAATGACTTTTGAGGTTCACGAATGAGCTGCTGTTATTTAAGCAGAAGCTTTCTGTTTCACGTCCCGATTCATAAACAGCAAAAAACGACACAGCTGTTTTGCGCCCTGAAGTTAATTTAATGTCTTACCCCGCCTATCTTTCCTACCACGTAAAGCCTGTCGCAAATCTCATGGAGTCGCCGTCATTTTTCACCATACGATAAACACTCCTCTATGTGCTCTGTAATTTTTAGTTCACTTCGTATCGTACGAGTAGTTTATTTAATTAACGCCAGTGTGGAAACATACATTTAATCCATGAAGTCCTCATGCTATGACTTGTTATGCTTTTCGCTGTGAGTGGTTAAAATTATAACATTATCATTCCAGCTCTTTAGTGCGATATTTCTATACAGTCGCCGTTACTCTGTCTGTGTACACTTTATATTCACAGTACTGTAAGAATTTGTTCTTTTTTCCAAGTTATTTTTCACATATATTATTTCATTAGTTTGCATTCTTGGGAGAAGGAAAATTCGAAGCACGTGTCTTCTGATTTCTAAGCCACTACTGTTTTATTTAGGTTTATATATAATCTTAAAAGTACTGCTCTTAAAAGTTAGGATGTTATATTGGTGACAGACTACAACGGCAATCTTCATAAATTGATCTATTTTAGAATCTCCTATACCAGATCTTTAAAATTTGTGAGTATTGAAAAACATCAAAGCAAAGTTCATGACAACCCTGTAGCTTATTGGACTTCTGTTTGCTGAAACCTTGGCAATGTAGAATGAAAAATGACAAGGAGACGAATAAATGGGGAGGAATGTTGAAAATACGACCCTCTAGATTTCAAGGATGGGCCAATAACAGCACCTACGAGACCGATAAAGATGAAAGGCGATATATTAGACCGAGAAACAGACAGAGAAGAAGAAAAATTGTCCACTAGAGTGTGAGGCTGCTCTCTGATGTACTTACTCGTCGTATAACCTAGCATCTGAAAACGTTTTCCACGAAATGATTAATGAGGACTGCTGGTACAAATGGGGCATTAGATACGTAAATTAATACTCTTTTATAATTATCATGGTCTGTTTAAGGAATATTAAGGCAAATTAATGCCATAAATCACCATCAGTGTTACCAATGGTTGGAAGAACTGAAACGATTATCCGGGATCGCTACATAGGCGTCGTTTTTAATATTACGTTCAAAGTTACTGGCCAGTAATTGTACCGCTGTGTTCGATGTTATATACGTAACAGAGTCTTGTTGCTTTGGTAGGAGAAGGAAAAGGTCAAAGGTGAGTAGGATTCACCAGCACAAATAATTAAATTCAAGTGAATGGAATCTTCCGTTCTGAGAGAAAAGGTTTGGCCTGACGTGAAATACTGAGACTGTTTTCTGACTAGAAGTCGAAAAGTAAGGTTCAGGAACACCACAGTCGTGGAGGAAAGAAAGAAGCCAGTTTTGCCGTCCTAGAAGCAAATAAGTCGGCATAGTTTTGCAATAGTAGTAATTCAACCATTTCACCACCTGATTAGTCTACAGCTGAATGCTTCAAAGTTATTTTCAGTACCTCGTTCGGCTTTAGCCCATACACCACAATAGGCAACCATCTTCATGTAGAAATTTAGACTAGGCCTATATCTTTTAACTGACGCCAATTCTAGCAGCGACGACAAATTACAGGACGATTAATGAACAATTAATTAGGATATGCAAGAAAGCAGTCGTAGTTTTTTTTTCAAGGTACTGCCCCAGAAATCGCCTGGAGGGACCGAAGAAAATCTGCAATTTTTTTTACTGAGGATAGCCTTTTTCGGGCCGATACTTGAACCCGCGTGAGGTAGTCAATTGTCAACGCTGTTCGGTTTGAAATATGTGTCAAATTTATAATTCTTTCTTCGTAGCCTACACGATTTTTCTGAAGAAAAATTTAGTTTATTAATTTAAATTTAAATAATTGTATCTACTAACAATGTTATCTGACATTTTTCCTTCAAATCCCTGTGATTAAACATGGACCTACAACCACACAAGGTAATTTCGTGAATTTTCAACAAGGTGATTTTAAATGTCAAATTTAGCTGGTTTCGAAACAGCACGTCATGAAAACAATTTACTAAGTTTAGATTCGAGTGTAAGTGACACAAAATGAATAGCAAACACCGTGTGATGTATATTCGCCCAACCACAGGTAGGGAGGGTTGACAAAGCCGTGCATTGGTGAACGGGGTGTACAAAGACGTGGTCATGTCAAAACGTCCCTTTGAAATAATGTGTTGTGTATAGGAATCATAAAAACAGTGCATGTGTACTGCCTCCTTTGTTTCAAGCCATGTAAATCTCTTGTTTGTTTCCAACATAAAATGAAAGAACAGAACAGTGGCCTGAAGCATATTTTTTGTACAATTTGACACTTTCCTGAAATTTAATATAAAAAGTCTCGATCGAAAATAACACGTAGTTACATCGGGCGAAATCAGCTACGCGAGATCCCAGGTTCTGGGAGCAGCGAATATGAAGATGACTGTGTTATGGGATGTTACGCTGTGCAGTCTCTCAGAAACTGATGGATGTTTCAGAGGTGCAAAGTGTCACCAGCTTGAAAGCATCTGCCTACATGTCCACGCGTGTTACAACCAAGTGGATCAACGTCTTCACCACCGTGAGAACCTCACATCTCGCCTGTCTTTATCGCAATATGTTAAACCTATCTTCCTCTAGACAAGAATTGCAAGTGCCTGATAAAATTAGCTCCTAATCTTGTTTCCACACCTTCATTTGCAACATACGAAGCGAACCGAATGCCTCAAATAATTAATGTCATGGTACTGCGTAATTTCCTTAGAATATTCCTACCTACCATAACATCTTAAAAGTTCTAATGATAATTATTCCTCTTACATTCCTTTTATTATTCAAATTAAAATCTAAAAAATGTAAAATTTTATCAGATTATGGTGTCATGTACATTCGTAAGTCATGCTTAGCCAACTGTAATGAAAACTTGAGCTACCTTCAAGTGGTCATTTTAACATACGTTTGTATTTCATTCCTCTCTGCAGTCAATGAACAAATGAACTCGACCGGACCGATGCCACACCCTACCATACGTTTTTTGCGAGTAAGAGTGAAACATAAATTTTAACTTTCAGCTACGTATACGATGTTATAATGTAATATCCTTGAATTTGACTCTAAATTCGTAAGGTTATAAATTATGAATGACGAGACCTAATAAGTGCATGTATAAGAAAAGATCTGTAGGCCTGCTCGTATTTATTGTTAATTATTGTTTGATTTCAGTGGAATATCGAATTGGGGACGTTCTATTTAAAATGCACACACATTGTAATCTCACGTACTAAATGTATATGAATCATTAGAATTCTTATAAAGTAAATCCATGAATGTTTTTATTTATAATTGAGTTACTAAAGCCCAGTCTGAGGAAAGTCACAGAACAGAGACTGAAGGCTTCCTTGGTTCAACTGTGTTTGAGGACTAAGAATTCTCTGTAAGAGCAGGATTGTGGTTGGTTTAATTTCAAATTTGGTTATTCAAGTCCGTTCAGCGGAAGTGGTCACATGAAAGAGACGGAAGTCTATGAACGCCAGGTCTTGTGGAAACCCATGAAGTTTATTCAGGATCACCGAATGTGGTCACCACGAAGGGTAACCTGATCTCCACTGAGCTGAGCTCTCATCCTAAGCCATCCAATCCTTGCAGCGTTGCCTTTCTCACATAAATTTACATTCAAAGCTTTCATTTTATTTCCCAGTTTCTATCAACCTAAAACACGCGGCATAAAAGTACATATTTAAATCTTTGGCTAACTTGTAATGACTCAACACTTGAATTTTATTTCCGCTAAAATAATCATAAGATGTTAGGACTTGTCAGTGGCCTATTCCAATTTCAGAATGCAACACCTCCGTAATACGACACCTAAGGTGTATCGGTGCAAGAAAACACATTATAGATATTTCTAAAAGCTACCTAATGGTAATGTAACTTGTAATATATAATATTCAGTCACCTAGAGTCATTACTAAGAACGTTTAGGTGTATATGAGTGCAAACAAATGTCAAAATTGGTTTGTATGATGCAGATACCAGAATCCCCTCATGAGTTTCTTTTCAGGAGATTTCCTATATAATAAAAGGTAGGTCTATTGCTTTTGTTTTACATCTCATGAAACTCCAGAGCGTGCGAGAAATAACGACGCCTTATTTATCGTTGCAGGATTCTTATCCTGGGACAATGAGACTTCCCATGTTGACCTCGAGAAAGAGTTGAAGGCCCTGACCAGCCAAGCCCCAGAAGGAGAGGAAGCTAGAAATGGTAAGGAAGATGTGACATTTTAAGGTACACTTTGTATAGTGGATGCATGTTCGTACACGTCTGCATGATGATTTTAGGATACAAAGTGAAATTAGTTCATAACTTCTTGTGAAAACTAAATGGTTCATAGCAGGATGTCAGCAAATGCAAAGATCAATCAAATAAAAGTTGGCGGGTAAACAATAAACATGGCCCATCCGTATTGGCACAGCGTCTTTAAAGCTCTAGAGGAAGTTCATACATAACAGAAGATACCTAGAGTAATAGATATTTCTATGAGCAGAAAATAAACACACTTCAAGTAATGGGTAACCTCCTTTTGGGGAGCAGAGCCAACTCCCGAAACGTTGTGCAAATACACTTTAATGTATCTGTTTCCGTGTTGAATTATTCACTTTTAACTGTAATTATTTTCCATGCTCATTTAACACAAATGTATTTTGCCATAAACATGGTATCGTCACTGTTTCTTAAGTCATAGTGCACATACTTCAGACAATTCTGCAATATCCGACAAAATCAACCATAATAAATTTTGTTTTAAATTGTTCTCTGCCGTGTACAGATAATATGTATTTTCCGAGGACTGGTGTATCGGTAAACTTCTACCAAAACACGCCTCGTATTATCCGGAACACAGTCATCTTCATTATGAAGGTTGATCAATAACCACTCTCAAAGTTGAATCGAATTTCATGTCATGAATAAGATAAAATTACAAGTGAAGGTAACTTAGAAATACGGATGCCTGAAAATTAATCACCGAGACTTCCAAGAACCGTTATATCACAACAAAATATTCCCATTTTCAAAACGACCCCTGACTATTCGTACCATAGCCCTGTGTGAAAAGAAATTTGTTACGAAAGAGATTGGAGAAAATTAACTCTTAATAACTTGCTGTTTATTACTGAAGTTCACAAGTGTACACTGTATATAAATACTCGACTTGCACACTAAGTCTTTCTCTGAAGTACTACCGAAAACATTTTACAGCATTCTAAACATTTTAACCGAGGATGGGGGATATAAATTCCTCGTGGCCTTTAATAACAGTCCTAATACAAATCGTATTATTGGATTCCTGTTAAAATACAATGATTAAAAATTACAAAAAAAAGTTATTACCAATGTTTCGGAGGTCTTTTCTGCCTCCATCATCAGGGCGATGATTCAGCAAGGACCTCTGAAACATTAGTAAACTTCTACCAGACTACACGGCGCTATAATCCAACCTTCTTTACAAAACAATTTATTTGCCTGTTCTCTTCTACTCGGGTTCCTGGAATAGCGTGAGTTGACTTAAAAAATGCAAATTGAGTTCCTTCCCAGAGAAACTTAATATCAGTTCCCGTTGGCACTACGTATCCGATAGAGACATTTTTTTATGTTCTGCATGTAACACATATATCGGTTACAGGCAGTAGAAGAGATCAGTAGTTAAATATTACTCGCCATGACAAAATCATTTCAACAATCTCTCTGCTTTGTATGTTATCCTCAGCCCAGCTAAACACGTGTACTGTTAATTTGAAGGAATTCCAAAGTGGCGAACATAAAATATGTTCCGGCAAGATTATATAAAAACTGAGACAACTGTTGGTATATTTCAGCTGTTAAAACCCTTTCCTGATACACGAAACCTTTTGAGCAATCATAACCCTCACCATATCAAGTTTGTGCTGGCCTTTTGTAATTGTTTATTTGCTATAACGACTCTTTCCAAATGGTCAAAAACTTATTACAAAAGTTTACAAGCAAACCTGGTGTCCTTTGACTCGAAGTTGGCTGCACTTGTTTCCCAAACCATAATTACAGACAACACGAGCGACACTAATCTATTAGTATTAATTATGACTTACTTACAAAGTCTTCACTGGATATCTGCTTCAATAAACTGATCACATATTATAGGCTGCCAGTGATGATAAACTGTGAGTGTTAAACCCTAACAGAAACACCAGAAAACATTCTTTCGCACACAAAGCTTGAAACCCGCGCTTTTACAATACGCCATTTTTCACTGCAGTCGGAGCACCAACATGACCAACACAACGGCACGAAATGAAAAATCATTCAAAGCTTTGGTTGGTGAGAACGTTAATTCTAAATAAACCCAAAATTTTATGACGTATCGTATGGTTATTCCTTCAAGTTTGCTGACGTTTCAAGAACTCTTAATCAGCATTTTTCTTTGGTATTTCAGACATTCAGATAATAAAATTAAAACCAGTAAAACCTATAGAACACGAAATATGATTTTACAACAAAATGTTGTACACAGAAACATAATTCATTCTGCTCTTAATTTCATTCTGTTTGCAGGCTGTATGTAATATAATGGAATTAAATTAGAAACAGTTGAACTCATCGCAGTCTAAAGCCAAGGTCATAGCATGAACGTAGAGAAACAAACAGCTTTCAAACGAACTCACCGTGACATGAGACACACGGCTAACATGAACACTGTTAAATAAGCCACATAATAGCATAAAAGAAACACGTTTATCATCGACCGATCACCAATAAGCTTACTGCTGCACACTGTGCCGCTGGGGTACTGACTGGCGAATTACATTAAGGGATGAAAGAATTTACTGGATAAACAAGAGAAAAGCAAATTACATTAAGGGATGAAAGAGAAAGTGAATTTACTGGATAAACAAGAGAAAAGCAAAAGTTCAAACATAATCAGTGGAAATATATACCAGTTCAGCCTTTATGCAGACAGACCCTTTTTTTTAATTTTCAGAAAAAAGGTTCACATACTCAGAATGACTTCAAAGTAGAAATTGTTAAAGAAAATTTTGTTCAAGACGAAGGTGGCTATCTGAAGGTGATTTCCTTCCAGAAGTAAAATTCTGGCATTTTATCTTAATGTGGTCGTTACAGCTTCCTTTCTCATCCTTCAAGTATTGAGTAAACCAAAAAAGCGTTGCACAAGAATCTGTGTTAATTACTGACGTAAAAGTGTAATCGAATATCACTGTTACCTTTACAGGCGAGAGGTTGATCCAGTACGCTACAGAAAACCTGGTAACCGAGGTGCTGATCCATCCGCAAGTGAACACTTTGGTCCAATGCGTACGAAACTTACTGTCCAGTTTCACAAGACACCGACATCTCATTCATGCAGGTTATACCTATTCAGGAAATGGCTCCTGGATACTCCAGGTGAGACAAACGAGAAGGTCCTTAAATAATTACAATTACCTGATCGAGTGATTTTAACGAATGATTTTTTTTTAAAAAAATAATTATTTTATGTGAACTAAAACTCAATCAAAGATACTGAAATTTCGCAATTATTTCCAGGATGGTACGTTCTCTCTGGCTGATTTCATCGACGCATTTTTGGAGCCAGAGGTGCAACGTGTGTTGCGGGCATATGAGAACTGCGTCACTGTGGACGTTCACTGCTCGCCTGAAGGTGACTGGGCCACAGGGCGAATTGCAAAGGAATCCTTTGCTCGCTCCTGCAAAGTACGTGTCAATCCTGATGACCGCCTAACTGCAGGGGGAACAGCAATAGGTAATTGCACTCAAGTTTAAGAAATTATTAGACATGACCTGAGTTCTGGAAATGACAGATTTATCACTGTGGACCCTAAATTTGTCACCCATGCACTGTATATTTCTTGTCAGTTTATTATGACAGATTTATCACTGTGAACCCTAAATCTGTCACAGATGCACTGTATATTTCTTGTCAGTTTATAACACCTAGACGTTTAATTCTGCACTACATGAACTTTCAAGTCTCTATTTACATTATCAATAAATATTAGTGTCCACTTTTAACACAAGAATGTGCCACACACTAGGAGAAACAATTAATAAATATGAGAGAAATTCAAATCTGCAAATCTGATCTGTAATTTCATTGTTTCTCATGTCTCCGTTGGCTGTAAATCCATCGTAAAATATTTTATCCTGCAAGCATGTACAATGTACTCGAAGAAAACTCCCTAGTATGGAACAGGTAAGACAATCTACTGACACAAAACAAAATCCCAGATTTGAATTACGATAACAAAAATTAATGTAATATTTTTTATGTCACCTTAAGTTTGTATTGTTTGAAAAACCATCAGCCCCCAAAAACTTATTAACCCTGGATCTGAAAAGATAAGTCGATCTGAGTTTAATCTAACCGCCTATTTCAAAGCGTGTAACATACTCCATAGCCTGACATGACAATTGTGAAGTACAAAATTATACTTTCCTTTGTAAATATACCTAAACTCTTATTGAATAAGCTTTATTACTATTGAATGGATTAGAAATATGTTAGCAATTGATATAATTTTCTTTCTTCAGGCAACTTTACCAACTACATACACCCGTTCCTGCGACCAGCATCAATAGAGCAATTACTAGAGCCGTCAGATGTGGTTGGAAACATACGTTTTAGCCACCCGACACTATATGTATTCCCAGGGGGTCAGGGAGATGCTGCGCTCTTTGGCATAAATGGCTTCAACATGTTGGTAGATGGCGGCTTTGCTCGCAAGGCATGCTTCTGGGATTTCGCTCGCCACTTGGACCGACTCGACGCCGTCCTACTGACACGACTAAATAATGGAAATGTCAATGGCATTTCTGCTGTCCTTAGAAGGAAAAAGCAAACCCATGTGTATCCCCAAATAGGGCACTTCTTCTGCAACCTACAGGTGAGGTTACCTCTCTTTATTTTTAGGTTAGAAACTTATTATATTTCTGGAATTTACATGAAACATCAACAACACAAGTTTTGTAGGACTGAAAGTCTGCAAATTAAGAATGTACAGTATGTTTTATGAATTCTATATAGAATTCCTTGTTAATGCTAGCTGCACCATGCATGGCCTTGAAACACATCACCAATTATTTTAATTAATCAAATGGTAACAATCTTAGGAATTATTCTAAATAGACTATAGAAAATCTACTTTATGTTATAAACCTGAGAATCAGCTGTTGTAAATTATAGTGCATATAAACTTGTGCTGTTTATGAACAGGAAAGACGCCACGCTACATCTCCAGATGGGGACAAGGACAGAGATGCACTGCTTGTGGATCTCCTGGAGGAGGGTCAAGAGATTGTGCTCAACTTGCGCCATCTACAGCTGCGCCCACACCCGTGCTACCGTGATGGGAACCACGTTGAACCAGTCAACCTCTACCACAAAGTGGGCCATGGCAAACTGGATATGTATATCATTAGCCCTGCCAAAGACAACCGCGATGTCAAGGAATTTCTGTCCAAGTGGAATGCCAATGACCCTCGGCTTTTTGTCGGAAGGAAGGATGGTTCATCGCTTAAAGACTTCCAGTTTCCATTACAGAATCTTGTTTCTATCTGTGCTCTTCTAGTGTGGCAGCCGGCAAACCCTAATGATACTATCACAAGAATCCTGTTTCCAGGAAGCACGCCTCAGCACAAAATCTTTGAAGGCTTGGACAAACTGAAACATTTAGAATTCTTAAAACATCCAGTGTGCACAGCCAGGTCCATTTCACCGTCCGCTTCAACTGTAGGTATCACAAGTCGTGCAAGTAGTAAGCAGAGGTCTGGCCCAGCAGTCATTGACAAGTTGCTACCTGGAGAAGGTGTCAAAGCGGCATCTATCGGGTCCACCACGGAGACCAATAAACACATAATTAAAGCAGCGACCATACCAGTAGCTGGACACCTGCCAGACGTGAAGCAGATTAAACCTGCTACCACCACCGCCCCCATTTCCGCCCCAGTGCCACCACCCTCAAAGGCACTGCCCCAGACCAAACAAAAGGTTGATAAACTGACTTCCAAAACAGAGCCACCAAAGATGAAGACTGAACTTAGTAAACCTGCAGAAGTTGAAAAAATCAGTGCCAAAACTGAGAAGCCAATAAAAACAAATGTGACTGAGACAACCAAATCCAAAGTTGAACCTAAACCCAAAGCAGAATCCAGAACTTCCATAAGTAAGTCAAAGACTGACTCTAAACCTCCAAGGTCAGCAGAAAGGAAGAGCCACAAGCCTTCCATAGACAAGAAGAGTGAGTCAGCCAAATCATCACCTACAACACCTAAAAAATCTGTTGAAGGAAAAATAAATGGTGCTGCATCGAAAGCTGAAACAGCCAAAATCACAAGAATGTCAAGTAGGAGTCGGCCTTCCCCAACAACAACTCCAGCTAAGAGCACAAAGGAAGCAAATAATCGAAAAGTAGTAGAATCAAAGTACCAGCATGTCTCGAGAACGTCATCAACACCTCGAGGTTCTACTACAAAAACGACTAAAAAAGAGCAGCAAGAAACTCCAGTTTCAATGAAGACTGAAAGAAAACCAATCAGTAGAAGGCCAAAGCCAGGATCTCCTAGTAAGGTAGCCACTTCCGGCAAAACTCCAGGTTCCCCAGCAAAGTCTTCCTCAGCAAAGAGTACACCAACACCCTCAGTAAAATCAGACAAAGATGGTGTGATACGTAAAGTCAGAGGTGAAACAGATAGGATAACGACTGATTCATCTGCTGTGTCAACACCTTCAACAGTAGAACCAGAAGCAGCAACACTGAAAGTAAAGGCTGCAGAAATTCTTGAATCAACAGCATCATCTGAGCCTCAGGCATTAAGTACAGAACATGAGGAGGAGGTTGCTACTGATAAGGAGATCGAAACAGGCATAGGAGAGCCTGACCAAGAAGATTCTGAGGCAATATGCAAAAGAATACAGATGACAGCTGATGAAACTGTAGCAGATAAAGTTCAAGAAAAAACTCCCATTACTGAAGTTGAACTAGAAGAAGAAACATTGCATCTGGAGGAAGAACGTGAAGAGGAAGAAGATGAAGAAACAGAAGACAAAGAATCAGAAGTTGCCACTGAAGAAATTCAACAAGTGAAGCAAGCAATACTTGAAAAGGATGACATTGAAGCTACAGAGGAAGAAGATGAAGAACAACAACATGTTGAGATAGGAAAATCCCTTGCAGATGAGCTAGAGTTTGAAGTCAAAGAACATAAGGAACTTAAGGAAGAAGAGGAAGAGGAAGATGAATACTTGATCATAGAAAAGGTGGAAGTTGAACAGTACATGGAAGACTCATTACAAGAACAAGAAAGTGGTGAATCACATGTTCCAGAAGAACTTGAAGCACAGGAGAGAGGTGATGAGGAAGAAGAGGATGAAGGAGAACTTCATAAACACCTGCGTGATGAGGTCGAATCTGAGAAAGAGAAAAAGCATGAATTTGAAAAGGACATTGTTAAAGTCAATGGTTTTCATGAGGAATCGAAGGACATTACTGAGAAAGAAATAACAGAAGATATTAAAGGAGACAAGGATATTCCACTCCTAAAAGAAGCTGAAGAAGAACGAGATAAGAGGCCAGATGACAAATCTACAGGTAAAGCAGTACTAGAAAAAGAAGAGGAGTCTAAAGTCACAGAAGAATTAAGCAAACATGAGGAGGCTGAAACAAAAGAAACAGGTTTAGAAAAAGTTCCTAGCAAAGAGCAAGATGAAGTGGCAATATCGAAAGAAATTTCCATGGTAGCCAAAGAAAAACTTCAGGGGGAAGTACAAGAAATTATCTCTTCTGCAGAAGAAATTGTAACAAAAACCAAACAGGAAAGTGAAATCAAACTTCATGATGATGGAGAAGTAAGTATGTTAGAGAAGCAGAAAGATCTTGAAGAACAAGTACATACAGGGGAAAAGAAGGATTCTGAAGAAACAGATGAAACAAAGGAAGCTTCATCAATTAGTCCTGAAGAGAAACTGGATATCTCATCAGAGAAGAACAGAGAAATAACAGATGACACTAGAGACACTGATCAGAAACCAGATGAACAGGAAGGTGGAGAAATTAAAGCAGCTGATCAAAGGTATCCGGCTGAGGAGAGTCAGCCAGATGAACGATTCTCAACCACTGTGGAGTCTGCAGCCACTACTGCACCCACGCTACCAGAAGATGAGCGCATACCACTGGATGAGATAAAAGAGATTGTGGAGGAAAAGTATGTGAAAGAGGAAACTAAAGAAGAGAAACCAGCTGCTACCACCATTGTTCCACAACGACTTGAACAACCCACAACTCTTCCCCAAGTAGTAGTTGCTGCTGGAGTCGGCATGTTTGACCCAATGGCACCTCATGCTAATGTTCATCTTCAGCGTGACATAGTAAAAACTCCAGATGAGGTAGCTGACTTACCAGTTCATGAAGAGGTAGATCCAGGCATGTATGACAGTGACGAATTTAGTAGGGATTATAAGGGTAAGGATGACATTGCCAAGAAG